CAACAGCAATAATAAACAAAGTAGGGGATATAGGGTCACCTTGTCTTAAGCCATGGGAAGATTTGAAAAAACCACGGCTCTTACCATTAATAATCATAGAGAAATAAGAACTTTCAATACAGTTTCTAATAAGATTGATAAATGAAGAATTAAAGCCAAATAATTGTAATATCTTATAAATAAATTGCCAACTAATATAGTCATAGGCTTTAGAAATATCAAACTTGAAAATAGAATTAATACCTCTAACCTTGACATCCAAATCATGACACAATTTCTAGGCCAACAAAATATTATCAGAAATGGATCGCCCTTTAACAAAGCCCATCTAAAAAGGAGAAATAATCTTTGGAAGAATAGTAGTCATATGGGACATAATAATTTTGGAAAGCAATTTATTGAAAAAAGTATACAAGCTAATAGGCCTAAAATCATTCCAATTAGTAGCATTATTCCTCTTAGAAATCAGTACAATAGAAGTAGAAGAGAAAAATTTGGGCATAGAGTTACCACTAAAAAAATCCAAAACCGCAGCAAAAAGGTCATCTTTAATAATACTCCATGCATTCTGGAAAAATTTAGCAGTAAAACCATCAGGGCCAGCCACATAATTTACATTCATACCAAAAACAATATTCTTTAATTCCTCAATAGTAGGTAACCCCACAACGAACTCATTATCCTCAACAGAAATGAGAGAGGGGATAATATCAGCATTAATGATGTTACCAGAGCTAACATCCTTATTAAGCCTGTCTTGAAAATGGTTAACCGCAGACAAGGCAATTTCCTCCTCCTCCTCAATAACAATACCATCATGAAGAATGATTTTATGAATAGAATTCAAGGCACGTTTCCTATTAACCAAGGCATGAAAGTATTTTGTATTATTATCCCCTTCCCAAAGATGCTTCGTAACAGCCTTCTGTTTCCAATAGGTTTCTTCTTGGGCTTGAAATTTAAAAAGATTAGCCTTAGCCACTCTAAGAGAAATAAAATTAGCATCAGAAGGAGAGTTTTGACAATCCAACTCAAGAGAATTAACCATGTCTTCAGCACATAAAATATTAGTAAAAATATTTTAAAAACATTGTGGTTCCACCAATTTAAAAACTACTTGAGTCTTTTCAATTTAAACCAAAGCCTCTTCATACCCATGATAGAATTATCAGGATGCAAATCAGCATTCCAATTATCCTGAACACCATTTAAAAAGGAATCATGCTAGAGCCACATATCTTGAAAACAAAAATGAGAAAAACCATTAACCTGTCTAAAATTAAGAATGAGCAGTAAAGGCGAGTGATCAGAAAGAGTACGACTCAGATGCTCAACAGCAATAGAATTAAAAGAATTTATCCATTGATCATTAAATAAAATGCGATCCAACCTTTGCCATAACCTACCTCTATTCCAAGTGAACTGGTTACAAGAAAAACCAATGTCTATCAGATTGCAATCCATAATCATATTATTAAAATCATCCATAGAATTAAGTTTGGGAGTACTACCCCCAGAATGCTCCGAAGGATTAGATATAGTATTGAAGCCACCTCCAACCAACCACGAGCTACGATACATGTTATGAAACTCAATTAATTGCTCTTAAAGAATTTTTTAATACCATAAGAGGAATTCGCATAAATGAAAGAAGCATAACACTTAACATTAGACACATCAATTTTACATTGCAAAACTTGAGTGAAATTACCAATAACCTCTATTTTAACCTGATCCTTCCAAAACACCCAAATCTTGTTAGCACAATTAGTTGTAGCATTATTAAAACCAAGAAATCTAGCAGTAGTGGATAAATTATAGACATTAACAAGAGGTTCAAGTAACACTAAAATAGAAATGTTATGAATACGACAAAGATTTTTAACCCTCAAACGAGTAGAAGCACAACCAATAGCCCTAACATTCCAAATAATGGATTTAAATATAAAAAATAAATATAACGAATAGATTGTGAACGGGTATTTCTACTCGATTGTAAAATAAGATTATTACTTTTCCTACCACGTTTACTTTGAGCTTTCATGAAGCTTAAATCATTGTCATCTCTAGCATAGCACTTAGCAGAAAATTGAAGATCCTCATTATCAGTAAAAGCATCAGAGTCAAAGTGGGAAGAAGAAGAGGACTTACAGTCAATGTCCTTTCCCTTACCCGAATGAGGAAGCTCAACTTCCTCCAGAATTTCTTCACAGTCAATCATCACATTAGATAACCCAAGTTAAGCATTTTCAGTTTCCACTAAAACCTATTCACTAGGGACCACTTTACCGATAATACTAGCACAACCATTAATAGCATGAGCTTCCTGATTGAGAACCGAGTAGCTAACTTCACCAATGGGAATAGATTTATTAGTATTGAAATCACCATTTATAATAGGTAAAGTAGAAGTAGTTCTATTTAGAGAAGAAGAAACATTTAACTCAAGGTTAACCACATTATCAACACCCCTTTTAGACGAAGGTAATGAAACAATAGGTTTCAACATATCGGAAGGAGGATTTTCCATAATGGCCAAAGCCTCAGAGGCAGTAGGTGGGTAAGATCATTACCAGAATTATCCACCATATTCAAGGGATCATCTGCCTTAACAATAATATCGTCTTTTTCTAAAGATTGCAAAGTTTCATTACCACCCTTAGGAGGAGATTGTTTGGAAACAGCTTTTTCATTTCTCAGATGGGGATGCAGCCTAAAACAATCTTTAAAACCATGTCCATGCATTTTACAATGCGAACAAAAAATCGATAAATTCTCAAACTCAACTTTTTGGAAATACCCATTAAGTTCAGAACCTAACCACACCTCACTCGGGTGTTTCTTCGAAACATCAAGTTCCACAAGAACCTTAGCTACATAAGGTCGAGTTATAGAGGTGGTGGCCTGATCTGTTTGTAAGGGTCTTCCGAAAATAGAACCAAGGCCAAAAAGAATTTGCGAGTTGAAAAAATACAATCTCAAATTAGGAAAAGAGAATCAAACTGGAGCTATGGGAGATTCTTCCCTAACATCAAAGTTAGGCGTCCACTTAAGAAGACGCATTTGACAGCCTTGTATATAGTAAGACCTCCTAGCAAAAATAAGACTGTAATTGAGATCATTCATCAACTGGATCACAATGTCGTTGATCCAGCAAACCGACATTAAAAGCTCCGGACAGTTTCAAGCTCACGAAAAACATCTGAATGACATCCAGATTCGGACGACGCAACAAAAATTTACCAACAAGGATTAGGGCAAATGGAGCAGCAAGTTGTGACACAACACTATCATCAAACAGAAGAGTCAGACATCCTTTAAAAGACGATTGCACAAAATGAAACTTAGAAGCAGAGGGGGCAGATCCCGAAACCACATCCTTAAAATAACGAGAAGATGCCGTCGGGGGGATGGATGACGACATCTCCCAAGGAAAAACCGTAAGAGAAACTCAAAACCGAACCACGAAGAAACGAAAAAACAAATCCAAAACCAAGAAGAGGAAGCAGAAATCAAACCAGGACGCCAGAAAGGCGAAGAAAGCAGAGATTCGAACGGAACCCTAAATCGCCTCGAAATCGCCTGGGAGGAGCGCCTAAAGTTTTTTGTTGATCAACAATATCTCTTCTACTTGCAGTTATACATGAATTTGCATTAATTATTATTTGTATTTTTTGTATTTAATTTTCTCACTTAAATATATCAATATATATTTTATTTTTTACTTGGTCTTTTTCTTCTTAACCTTCTAATTTATTGAAGTTAAGACATAAGACCATGATCTAATGCTCTTATTCTCTAATGAATATATTTACTCCAAAATTGATCATTTTTAATCATTTTATATTCTATAGTGCTATACTATGATTCTTTTATCTTCATTCAAAAATGCAATTTAACTTAATTATTTATTTTATTTTATTGTTATAATTATTTTGTGTCAATATTATATTTTATATTAGTATTGTAATTTTAATTTTATTTAAGTTTTCTTAATAATGTCTTTTCCATTAAAAAATATTTTCTCCTATGCAAGTAAACATTAATGATCATAACTACTTATAATGATAATCTTAATAATTTTGTTCATCATAACAATGATGCTATAACGAAAATATTTATAATATAAATTTTTATTTATATATTTTTATTCACATGCATTTAATACACGTACAATAAAACTAGTACTAAAAAGTTTCATCAATGGATCAAAATGGTTAGGGGAACATTCATAGTTGAACCGATCAATGCGATCCAATTTATAAATCATTGATAATACATATATGTATTTCTTGTAGAATTGCTGCTTATTTTAAGAAATATGATAACATTGCTCAATATATTAACAGCCAAAGATAATTACACAACTATATGCTAAGGCTTTATTTGAGATGATTTTTTATTGATTTCTAAAGTAGCATTTCAATATAAAAATATTTTGAATTAAAACTTTTTATACTAGAAAGTTTATTTAAAAAGCATTAATAAAGCTATCCCAGGTTTCTTTTTGGACAACTTTTTTACTAAAAGTAAATTTTTAGTACAAAAATTAAAAAATTTATACCAAAAAAGTAGCACTAAGAAAGCCGTCCCAAATAAAACCTAAGGCTTCATCTAGGATAGCTTTTTGCTACTATTTTTTTACTGTATTCAAAAAAGAATTGTATTAAAAAGTTGTAGAAAACAGTAAAAAACTATTCCAAACAGAACTTAAAATCAAAGAGGCGGATGCTCTAATATTCCCCTCCAACCACCCAAAAGAGAGAGAGAGAGAGAGAGAGAGGCGGATACTCTAGTAGAATTGTACTTACAGTTGCATGTAACACCCATAATCATCCAAGTAAATGAAGTCATGCAATAGTCCAGCTCCGTTACTAAATATAAAGCTTTAGAGCTTGCATGATCTCTCCGCTCAAGCATTTATTATGACAAGGCCGAACTACAAAATTTTTCCAACAAAAAGACTGAATAAATACTACCTAACAAAATATGAGAGAGAATTAAAGTTCAAGTCATCCACACAATAGATGAATGACATTTGAATTGATGCTCAAAACATCCTTATTGAAAGAGTAGAATCAGCTCAACAAAATAATTGAATCTGTCCACTAAAATTCACACACAAATTTCGCTACAGGCCATTTCACAAAATACAAGACCAGCTTCAGTGCCTCCAGGAAAAGACACCCAGCACAGCACACAGATACTGTAAACAGTTTGCATGAGCCGTCTCACACCTCGGACAAAATTCTGGAGAAAGACTACAGAAGTAACAATTCAACGAAATCAGTACGCACCAATCTTATTAGGAATTATTCAGGAAGAAACATAAACCTTTATTCCGGATGGAGTTCTATTAATAAATACTTTGCTTTCAAGAGCACCATTGACGTGCATTCTGAAACATCCTTAACCAAGGACTCGGGCCTTTCTTGTCCAAATTCCATTCCATCGGATACCATGGAAACTGCCACATCATAAAGCACCTCTCTGGGTGCGGCATCATCGCGAGGTGCCTTCCATCAGGAGAGCAGAGAGCCGCAACACCAAATGGGGATCCATTAAGATTAAAGGGATATACTTCTGTAATGCTACCATAATCATCACAGTATCTTAGAGGAGCCAGATTATCATGGAGAATTCTGTCACGGATACTTTCATCAGGAAAATATGCCCTTCCTTCACCATGAGCAGCCCAAACACCCAATGTACTTCCTTCCATTCCCTTTAACATTATAGCTGGAGAATCCTCAATCAGCACACTAGTAAACCGGCATTCGAACCGACCTGATTCATTGTGAATAAACCTTGGTTGTGAAACATCACCTCCGCCGCCCAAGGAACCACCTACATCAGCACCTGGAACCCAACCAAGAAGAGCCATTAGCTGACAGCCATTGCAGATGCCAAGGCTGAACGTGTCAGGCCTGTTGTAGAATGCCTGGAATTGCTTGAGGAGATTCTGATTGAACCTTATGGATGCTGACCAGCCCTTGGCTGAGTCAAGTACATCAGCATAACTGAAGCCACCAACAAAAGCAAGGCCTCGGAAATCATTTAGGGAAATGAGTCCCTTAAGAAGGTCAGACATCGTTATATCCCAAGGTTCAAATCCTGCAGCATGGAATGCAGCTGACATTTCCCGGTCCCCATTGCTTCCTTCTTCGCGAATGATAGCTACCTTTGGTTTTGAAGCAGATTGCATGAACTTCATATCTGTAAATTTTGGAGTGAAAGATAATCTCCATGAAGGTTTACGCCTGTTCTTGAGGCCTTCTTTCTCAAGGTTAACACAGGACGCCAGTCTCTGGAGACCCTCAAGTTGAAAGCTAGTGTCCTCCCAAATGTCCCTCAGGTAAGACATGTCTTCTTTCAGTTGCTGCGTTCCGTCAATACTCAAGTCTATGATTGGTGATGCTGTGACGTTTCCAATAACCTCCAAGGAAATGCCAGCACCATCCAGCTTTTGCTTGACCAGATTAAGATTCTGTGAGCTCACCTCAAGAACAAGACCAAGTTCTTCAGCAAATAATAAATGGAGAATATCTTTTTCTTTTGAGTTCAAACTTAACTGCACGCCACAATTACCAGCAAATGCCATTTCTAGTACGCATACAAGAATCCCACCATCACTGATGTCATGACCAGCAGAAACCAACCGCTCAGCAAGCAACTCTTGAACAGCTTCAAATGTCTTTGCAAGGTAAAGAACATCATCAAGATCAGGACTCTCATCACCAACTTGATTAAAGGCCTGCAGAAGGGCAGAGCCACCCAAGCGCCGTCTTCCTTTTGCTAGGTCAATGTGCAGCAGAACACCGTCATCTTCAAGTTTCAGGTCTGGTGTCACTGTTAATGTTATATCCGGAGAAGTTACATAAGCACTTATTACTAAATTTCCAGGTGCCTTGACAATTTCACCAGCAGCATGAGCCGCCATTGAGAGACTGTCCTTTCCACCATCTATTGCTATACCCAGTTTGATCATGGCCTCTGAGAGTGCCACAGCAGCATCATACATTGCTGCACCTTCTCCATCAAGTTTTGCTGCATACATCCAGTTACCACTAGCTTTTACATCACCAAGAGAAGTAACTTTAGCCCATACAAGATTTGTCAAGGCTTCACCAACAGCCAATCGTGCCATAGCTTTTGGATTCAAAAGACCCTTTATTGGTTGCTCACCAATAGCACAAGCTCCACCTGTCAGGCCAGTGTAGCTCTGAGCAATAACAGCAACGTCAGAAAGGGGAAGTTGCAAAGGTCCCACTGTTTGCTGCTGTGCCACAAGACCAGTAACACATCTGTCAACTTTTGTGGTGAGGAAGTGCTTTGAGCAGACTGAAGGAAGTCTGAGGACCCTCTTGAGGCATTCCATCAAGGTGATCCCTGGAGCAATATCAATAGGTTCCTGCACATAAGGGATCCGCTTTAACTCAAAGCATTTCTGAGGCATGTCACCCAGTACTTTCTCAAGCTCAAGATCCTCTACTGGAGGTGGAGGTGGAAGTCCCCTAGACTTGTACTGCTCAACAGCTGAGCTATCAATCAGCAAAATCCGGCCAGTGCCACTGATGGTCCCAATAACTGCCATGGAGACCCTTTCCCTATCACATATTGATTGTAATAGGCCTCGGCTTTCTGGTTTCACTAATAAAGCATCCTGCTCTTGGTACTCGGCACCCCAGATTTCTAGAACCGACATAGTATGATCTCCCACTACTATAGCACGAATATCAATCTCCGCTCCCTTGGGATAGATTATTTCTTTAACAACATTGCAGTTTCCACCAGCACCTTGATCATGTATGCTGATTATAGGATTTTTCTCCCCCATCTCTGCACAAGCACGAATGACACGATAGAGCTTTTGAGCCATCTCTGCATCCCCTCGCTGAACAGCATTAAAGTCAAGATCTGCATCATTCTGCCCACTAACCATGCTTGATGCAGCACCACCACCCATGCCAATCCGATACGCAGGACCACCAACCTTCACAACCAGCATGCCAACATCTGGATCTGCCTTTGATATATGAATGTGATTTATCTGCCCAATTCCTCCACTAAACATTATCGGCTTCAACCATTCACGTCGTTCTCTATTTTGTAATCTCATACCAAACGTCCTTGTGTAACCCTGAATGAGAGGTTCTCCAAACTTGTTTCCATAATCAGAAGCCCCATTGCTAGCATCAATTAGGATCTGCAATGGAGAAGCTAAGTTCTGTGGATATGAAAAAGACTGATCTTCCCAGGGAGCATATGATCCCTCCATCTGAAGGTTACCAACACAATAGCCTGCAGTGGAAGCAATAACAAAGGACCCTTTACCAGCTGCATGTGTGTCCCTTATACGACCTCCAGTACCAGTTTCTGCACCGGGGTAAGGAGCAACAGCACAAGGGAAATTATGAGTTTCTGCAGTAAACAAAACATCAAGATCATACTTCCGATAGCACAATGATGAAACAGAACCAGGCAGCATCGGATGCAGAAAATTTATAGGGAATCCCTTAATTGCACTTGAGTTATCCTTAAATCCGATTACGGAATTTCTTGGATTAGCCTTCAAGGTACTCTTTACTGTCTGCATCAATGTTGTGTTGATCGGCTTTCCATCGATAACAAGTTTCCCATTGAAAAACCAGTGTCTGCTATGTTCACTGTTTGACTGGGCAATATCAAAAAGCTCAACAGTTGTAGGATTACGCTTAATATCATCCCTGAAAAGACTTGTATAGTATTCAATATCATGTTCATCAAATGCAAGGCCCATTTTCAAATTCATCTGTTCCAATGCTTCTTTTCCTCTCTCAATAATTGGGACTAAACCAACAGGCTCAGGGACAACATCTGTCCTAAATGTAGTAAGCTTACTGGGATATATACACTCTGTCATCCTATCATGAACTATAGAAGCAAAGCTATTGATTATACTCTCTAATGATAGATGACTTCCATCCTTGATATACAACAGATACCTTCTGGACCTCTCCATTCGACTCACCTCTGTCAACGTGCATGATTGGCAAATTGATACTGCATTAGATGACCAAGCTGTTGTAAAGGACATGCGGGGTCCTACCTCAATCAGACATGTAGAAACACCATAAGTAGGCTCCTCTAGAAAACTGTTGGTGTGCAAATTCTCTGGTTCATAAGTCTCTTGTAGAAGCCATTTAAGAATCCCAAGTTTCTCCTTAGACAACTCAGCATTGAGACCGACATTAAAACACTGCTCAGTTTTTATATCAACAATATTATTAGAAACTTTCATCTGGATCTGCTTTAGGAGCTCTGCCTTTGCATTTTTTTGAATCAAAGGTTGTCGGTAAAAGTGCATTATCTCTAAGTTCTGTATCGGTTCACTACAATCTTCAGATACAGCAGTATGTAAACCATTAGAAACAACTGCCATTGCATTTACAAAATGCCTGCTCCTTAAAGTGCTTCTGTCATTAAACACAGACAAGCATCCACAATTGAGCCTATTCTGATGAGCATGGAAGATCTTCCGTTTAGAAATTCTATGAAGAAGAAGATTCCGCCTGGTCAATATCTGAAATGCACAATAAAGAGTAAGTTAAAGTTTGTCTAAAACTAAACAGAATAAAATAGGGACTATTGCAAATAAAAGAATCCCACTAATGATTATTTTCCAACAAAACTTAAGTATTTAAAGCAATGTTCACCTTTGATTGCAAGAAGTCACTTGCAACAGCATCTCCGATAGTTCCCATTATTTCACTGAAAACAACAAAAAGATTTTTTATTGCAACAAAGATGTGAAGAGATTTAATTGGTGAGATCAAACAAGGGCAAAAACAATACAAGGCAAACAGGACACGTGATGACTGTTTAGCTAATTGAAGTTTTCCCTTACAAATGCTCTAAAATAGTTCAAACTTTAAAGCATAAAATCATTTCCTTAAAAGCGTATGATTAAACAAGAGAACTAGTGAACAACAGTGTATGCCCACATGTACATATCAACCAAGTAAATGGAAAAGACATTGCATGAACTGAACATATAACCAATTTCCGCAAATCAAATTATGCAGAATACTGAGTTGGTTTTGTTATGGCTATCCAAACTAAAGCAAGAGATATTTGTATGCCCACATGTCCATATCAACCAAGTAAATGGAAAAGACATTGCATGAACTGAACATATAAGCAATTTCCGCAAATCAAATTATGCAGAATACTGAGTTGGTTTTGTTATGGCTATCCAAACTAAAGCAAGAGATATTTGTGTGTATAACATGTCATTGAGATCTTATTCACAAAATCATAACAAAAATGCTTAAGATGAACTAACAAACTTATTCATTTGTGTATGAATATAACCAATTCATTCAGAATTTAACAATTCACGGTAATGAAAGATCCTACTTTTATTGTGCTCTTAAACATTTGGATGATATTATTGTAGATATAAGTACAGGAGTAGTAGTTTTTAAGTAGGAGAATTTCAATGAAACACACATAATTGTCTAAACCAAGCAAATACTAGTACAAAATAATGAAAGAATTACCTAACCAACTTACATTTAAGAATATTGTAAGTGAAGGAACACCATGCAAACGCATGAGAGAAACCATGCATTGTGATCAATTTCAATATAAATTTAATAATGGACAACATTATCGAAGCATGAATGAAGCCTCAAGTACAAAATCAATTAATTGTGACAATCCCTTTCATTATGGAAGAGCTTAAAATTTATGTAAGTGAAGGGTTTTTCTAGACCTAAACATCATTTACTATATAAAAAATATTGGAACACTAGTCCTAATTTCATTGATATTGTCACTATGGCGTAATAGATTAATGTGAATGGGGACGAAATATATAAAAAGTTAAAAATGATGAGTTTGCTTTAAAAGGGTCTAAGTGGAGCAATTCTACTTCACTATTTCTTCTTCTTAGGACAAGGAGAGAATTTATTGTTTTCTTGAAGCTAATCCTTTTGATCATGATTTACTCCATAAAGCTTTGAACATTAATATAAAACATAATTCAAGCTACTAGCTGGGAAATCACATGGATAAAATAGAAAGTTATGTATTCTTAAGTTCACTAAAGGGAAAGATAAGGGTAAAAGAAATCATAATCTTATGAAGGAGTTAAAGATCCCCATGGTAATATGAGTAGTCAATATGAGATTCTCAATGTTGTCATGGATAAAATAGAAAGTTACGTGTTCTTAGCTCACTAAAGGGGAAAATAATCTCACATTTCTCCATGAAAAGATAAGGGAAAAAGAAATCACAATCTTATTAAGGAGTTAAAGGTCCCCATGGTAGAATGATTAGTAAAAATGAGATTCCTAATGTTATCATGTCTTATTTTTCTAAAAATCTCAATAGCAATACTCATTCCTTATGTCATGATATTGATGACATACCTATGTACAACTAACTTTCTTATTTTGATTAAGGTACTCTCACTACTACTTTTATCATGCAAGGTATTAAAGAAGCCTTATTCATCATTGGCAAAGATGAATGCCCTAATCCTAATGAGTTCAACCCTAAATTTTCTATGGACTCTTGGGATATTATTGGTGGTGATCTTGAAGCTGCTGTTCAACATTTTTTTCACACTAGTAAGCATTTCATTGGAATCTTTGGATATCATTAATCTCATGGCTGATATTTAATATATTCTTTCACACTGCTAAGCACCTTGGTAACGTGAAACATTATGCTGTTACTTTGGTCCCTAAAAGGCTGTACTCTGAAACCTAAGGGTTTTTTTCAAAAGAGCAGAACCTTTGCAAATTAGACTAATGATTGCATCAGTGAGGTTAATTTCTCAGTTGTCATCAATGGTGAGCTATTTTACTTCCTCTAATTGGGTAATACAAGGTTTCCCTCTATGTCCTTTTCTTTCACATTGGTTATGGATATTCTCTTGTATGGTTGAGCATTATTGTAACCAAGGATCTTCAATGCTATCACCCACAAAAACAAATTTACTTCCCTTCTTATTTTGGATGATTATCTTTTATTTTTTGGCCAGGTTAATTATTCAACTTTATACAGCCTTAAATTTGGAAACTCATAACCACGAGTTTTTGAATGTCAGATCGCAATGTACCTTCTTAGAGCTTACATTTCTCAGGCATTTTATTCCTTCATGGAAACTCATTCTCTCAAGTTTTAGAGTATGCCCCTTCTATCAAAAACAACATAACTAGAAGATTCTTCCTTATTGTTATTCAGATTACTGCAAATTATATTTAGGTTAAAATAAATAATATTATTTTTTTAGAGAGAGGTTCTTCAACATTTAATATTATTGAAAAAATTTCATTGCAATAAAACTTAAAAGCAACAACAACAAGCATTTATCCCACTACGTGGGGTCGGCTACATGAATCCTTTTTCTCCATTGTGTCCCATTAAAAGTCAAATTCTCATTTAAATCTAATAAAGAAAGGTCATTCCTAATATTTTCTAACCAAGTCTTTTTAGGTCTACCCCTACCTTTCTTAACACAAGTCAAATCTAATACCTCTACTCTCCTAACCGGGTCATCGGAAGGCCGCCTCTTTATGTGACCAAACCATCTAAGGCGACTCTCTCTAATCTTATCTTCTACTGGAGCTATTCCAACCTTTTCACGTATATGCTCATTTCGTATCTTATCTCTAAGGGTAAAGCCACTCATCCACCTGAGCATCCTCATCTCTGCCACACTAAACTTAGTATTATGCATCTCTTTTAATGACCAACATTCGGCACCATAAAGCATTGCAGGCCTCACTACCATCTTATAGAATTTTCCCTTAAGTTTGAGGGGTACATTACTATCACATAACAAGCCCGATGCATTCCTCCACTTCAACCATCCAACTTGAATTATGCTGATAATATCCCCATCTATTTCACCATCACTAT